TGTCGAATGTTGCTTGCGGAAGCCAAATTGATGGTCTGGAATATTATTTGATTCTGATAATATATCTTGAAGTAAAAGTTTTCGAAAATTTTTGAGGTAATAGGTAGAAGGCTTATGGGCCTATAAGATGAAACCAAATATGGATCCTTTCCAGTCTTTGGAATCATTTTAACTATAGAGGTTTTAAATGATTTAGGTCAAAATTCCAGTCTTAATATAGCATTATATATATACGTTAAACAAATAATACCTTTTTTAGGCAATTCTTTCAACATTCTCGACGAAATTAAGTCGATTCCTGGAGATTTTTTGTTTTTAAGTTTAGAAATTTCCCCGACAACCCTTCTCAGAGAGAAGAATTTTTTATTATTTCTAACAGGAATCGTTCGATAAACCATGTCACAATCAGGAATTTGATTATCAGAAGGTAAATTAGGCTGAAACACAGAGGATAAATACTTGGCAAAAACTTCAGTTTTATCTTTATCACTTCGTGACCAAGTCGAGTCGTTGTCGGCATCCCAACGAATTGGCGGGTTTCGCACACATGGTTTGAGTCGGTTTTTCACTGGTTTCCAAATCGAATTATCGAAGCGGTTAAGGCTGGCTACATAGTTAGTGAAATTAATATTGCTCATTTCTTTCAATCTGTTCTTCAGCTTATTACTGATGTTGTTAAAGTAGGTTTTATCTGAAGGTAAATGGCTGTTATGCCATTTTCTTCTTGCTCTCCGTTTTTCAGCGATAAGCTTTTTGATTTCTAAGGAAGTAGATTGTCGATTGGATTGCACAGGTTTAGGCGTAGAGGATGAAGCAGCTTCAGTCAAAATGTTGTTGAAGTTTTCGATAGCTGTATTAACGTCAGTTTGCGTTTTCAATCTCATTTGCAAATTGATTTTGTCCTCAACTTTTTTGCGATACATATCCCAATTAGTTTTCGCAGTGTGAAGGCATGGTGCTCGAGAAATATTTATTTATAGATGAGCAGATGCTGGCAATTACAGGAGTATGGTCGGATGAAAGGTCAAAATTAGTTTCAATTTCAGTGTAATTTGTATTGATGCCATGAGAAATAAAGAAATCCAGTAGATCTGGTTCTTTTTGGGATCTGAGGGCCAGTAAGTTGGAGTACCCGTCGACAGCGTTACATAGTTATATTGGGAAATTACACTGTATAATTGTCTGCCCTTGGGATTAGTCAATCTTGAGCCCCAGAGAGGGTGCTTGCTATTGAAATCACCTCCCACTATGAACCTGGGTCCTAAAGAAGAGAAGAAATCATAGAATTGAAAGCTGGTAATCGCATGGCGTGGAGGGCAATATACCGCAGATAGTATGATGTTACATGTAGCGAGTTTGACTTGGATTGATGTAGCTTGTAAGAAATCCTTGCTATATTTGGGAACCTCATGGTGTGTTAAGTTGTATTTAATAAGTATAGCTGAACCTCCATGAGCAGAGCCATCTGGATGCGGAGTGTGGTAGATGTTGTAGTAGGGTATGTACATATTGGAGTAATTAGTAAAGTGGGTTTCACTTACTAACAACACGTCAATTTGTTTTCTTCCAGAAAAATAATTAGTTCGTTCCTATGTTGTAGTAGGCCATTTGCATTCCAAGCACATATTCTAATGAATCTAGCCATTGATACTAGTTTCTTTTATTGATTAGTGTTGATAGCATGTTAATTATCATACTATTCTGTTGCATTAGTTGGTTGAACATTGCTTTAAATTCCACTAAAAATTGAGAGATAGCTGAATTTTGATTTTCTGAATTATTAACTGGGTTATGTGATTTTATAGCTTGCGCATACGATAAGTGCTCGGTGTTGGTGAGTCTGCCAAAGCGAGACCTGTCTGCGTAGCTTTGCGAAGCGGTAGGCTTGTTTTGATTGACAGAAAATTTACTATTAATTCTATTTTTAGAATTAACTATCTGTTGATAAATGACACAACCTTTGTAATTAGCTGGATGGGATTGAAAACAGTTTGCACAGACTGCTGGAGATTCGCGCGACTTGGAACAAATTGAAGTGGGATGATCATCACCGCATTTTACACAAATAAACGGTCTATTACAGTAGGATTTTGTATGGCCGAATAATTGGCAGCGACTACATTGGGAAATTCCTGAATTATTAATCGGTGGATGAAAATGAATTATTTGATTCAATATCTTGTTTATTTTGAAAATTTCAGTATTATTTTTATCGGGTTCCAGGTCAACGTAAAACATATCAAGTGGGTTTTTATTTCTGTGATGCAACACGTTAGTGATATTTCTAACTCTATGACCCTTGGATTCAATTTCCTGCTTTAATTCGTTGATATCGGTTTTGTAGTGGATGTACTTTAGTACAACACGATATGCTCTTTCCGATTTGATTTGGTATGTATGAAATACGATATCTCGAGTTCGAAGAAATTTAACAAAATTACGGTAATCTTCAACAGATTGAACGTTAAATTTGGTAACTTTATCTGGTAAAGTTTTAATCGTAAAATTATTATTTGTTAACACAGATTTCAGATCGTCTAACATTCCTTTGAAATCGTCAACTCCGTAAATAAAAACGGGAGGCGGCAATGCTTTTTTAACTGAAGCAGAGGTTTCAGTGACAGGTACTGGTTCTTTATTAGTAAGGACACTAAATCGATTACCTAATGCTATCGAATTATCAGTTTGAATATTCAAAAGTCTTCTTTTAACGCCGGCAATCGGGACAATTTGCCATTTGTTTTTATTAGAATTGTTAGTATCTGTTTCAACTTCCATAACGCTAGATGACGGTATGGGAGCATTAGTTGTTATGTTTGTTGACGGTATGGGAGCATTAGATATTATGTTTGTTGACGGTATCGGAGCATTAGTTATTATGTCTGTTGATGAACAAGTTGAATTAGCAGACTGATTACGTAGATGTTCTGTAAAAATTCTGAACTGGTATGTGAATCGTCGGCAATTACATTTGCCGACTCCACAATTAAGTTATTCATTGCGAACCCCAAAGGGGTCTACAATTAAATTGTTATACAATGTGACACTCTTTGTATTAGACACTATTTAGTATTTGTTCAATAAATATTACAATCACTTTATTATAAAAGTCCGTATGAACAATGTGTTTACATTAGTTTTAATACACTGAAATGTACCCTTGCGGGTACATTCGATTATTTTGATTTATAACACTTGGGTATTATGATTCAACTGATAACAATACCTTATGCTACCCATCCACTAGGCCACCAGGCAACCTGCAATTTATGACCAAATGACCAATAAATGTCCAGTTGTAAAAATTTCGGTGTTCAGGCGATCGAACCAAATTTCATTCATATTTCTTGAACATTAGAGAAAAAAGTATGTATATTTCGAACGTGAAATGAGATAAAATCGACTTTTGTTGCAAATTTTAGATCGTTTTCATTTTATTTAAACATTTATTTTTTATATAAAAATCATATTAAACTTATTGATATTAAATTAATGTTGTACATTTGCAACAGATGAATTTGGAATGAATTTTGTCTCAAATATATAGCTCAAAATATTATTCAAACGTAGACCAATAGCCGTTATAACAAATTATTCACGATTTATTATTATATTAGAACCTAATTTTAACCTGAAACATGGCCTTTAATCTTGGAATATACGTCTACATTTACAATAATGCAGATACGAGAAAGGGTCGTGTAATGTGAATTCATAAGTGAAATTAAATTCAAAACCAATGACTCATGTTTTTTGAGGTGCAATTAAAAACGGACAACTTTTAAAACAAATTCAATATTATATTTATTTTTGAAGGAAAAAACACGAAATTAAAAATCAATTTATTCATATGAATAAAATGTGGAAAACTTTATGTATGCATTTCCCCAGTATAATCAATTTTTTGTAGTATATAAAAAGTTTTTTAATAGATAACACATCGCATTACCGTTCTTACTATATTCTTTTCTAAGATTTAATTATAATATATAAAGAAATTTGGTTAATTAATTAAGAAAAATAAATTAATATTTTTTTTATATCATTGATATCAACGAAATGGATTTTGCGATCTAAGGTGTTAACGGTTAATTTATAGAATTTCGGGTTTTGGAAAAATCAGATTAAATTCATTTGGGGATTTTTGGTTTGAATATACCTGGATTCAGGATTAATCCATTAAATGAAATGTTAGCTTTTACAAAAGGAATTACTGCATTATTGAAGGCATTATTGACACATTTAATAATATAATTTAAATAATATTGTGAATATAAAAGTAATTACTTTATTTAGCGAATAATAATGTGTACCCATGAAAGTTATCATATTATTCTATAAAGTATGTATTTATAAATACATATTTTACCTACAGCAATTTTTACAATGCAATGTATTAAAACAACGTAATGTTTTATCTGTTTTTATATATTTATTAATAATACAATTAATAGTACAATTGTTAATATATTCATCAGGTTTAAAAGATATATATATATATATATATATATATATATATATATATATGCATACAATTCTGAAACATATGTCATAATATACATGAATTCTGAAGAATTTGAACATTTTTATATATTTTTGTAATGATTAATTAATGATGATACAAGTATATTAAAAATTTCATATTCTATCGTGCTGCCAAGATACTTGGCCTTCATTAACAAAATAAGTTTTAAAATTGTCACGAACTGCAGATGCGCTTAATGAGTGTTCCATTTCGAAATTGCTTTGGCTTGGATCATCATCAATTGCATCAATATCGACATCGATGTCAATGTTTTCCTTACTTAAAAAATTATGCAAATAGCAGCAGGCTAATATTATTAGATTTACTTTTTTCATTGATAGATTAATTGCTTTTGCAAATATTTTGAATCTGCTCACCAGTATGCCAAAAGCATTTTCCACATTATTTCGGGCCCTACTTAATCTATAGTTGAAAATTCGTGTGTCTTCATTTAACTCCCTCAATGAATACGGTTTCAAAAAATATTCTTTAATGAAAATGCCTCATCACCAATGAAAACATAAGGCATTCTTTCGACATTACCGAAATTGTCTGGTGCTGGAAGATTATAGTAACCGCGGTCAATTTTTCCGTAAAATCCCGTGTCAGCCAAAACCCCACCGTCCGACATGCGACCATTTGTACCGACATGGACAAACATAAATTGCCGATCAGCATTAACGCAAGCCATTAACACTACCGAATGAAAATTTTTATAATTATAATGATAAGAACCGCAATTTGGTGGTGCCGCTATACGTATGTGCTTTCCATCCCATGCACCAACACAATGTGGAAAGTTCCACCTTTCTTCAAAGCGTTTAGCTATCACCTTCCATTCTTCACTATTTGTTGGCATCTGTCAAACAAAATATTAAATATTTTATGTAGAAAAATACGCATATACACAGACTAATGTAATTTTCTTTGCATACCTTAATATATTTTCTGAGACATTGTACAATAGCTTCGCACGTTTCCGGAATTATTCTGCCCAATGATTGTGGTGATATGGCTGCAGAAAATTTTAGCTGCTCAAAATTAAGCCCAGTCGCCAAAAACCGAAGTGTTACCATTAATCTCTCAATAGGCGTAATCGCTTGTCTGAATTGACTGTCTTGACGTTTAATTAAAGGAGCTACCATTGCCAACAAATTGTCAAAATCACTTTTGTCCATCCGTAGTAATCCTCGCAAGTCTGTAGGATCCAGCACTGAATCTATCATTAAATTCAAGTGCGTATATTTGTCTCTGGAGGCAAACAATTGTTTTTGCCATTTTTTATGTTTTCTGCGATTATTTGATTGACGCAAATTCCAAAAATATGCAACTAGTAGAAAATCTTGATTCATATTCAGTCACAAAAATTTTCAATAGTTTAATCTCTATATTCGTACATTACCATAGATGATTTTCGAATGATTTTTTTTTTCATTTAGTGAAGCTTTTACCCTGCGTGAAAGACCCCAAAGAAATTTTGAT